TGATTCAGCCATGCCTTGGAACGAACCCTTTATCAGTAGCAGCGCCTGCCAGAGGTGATGATAGCTTCGTACTGGATATGGCGACCAGTGTTGTGGCACTTGGCAAGGTAAGAAAATACAAAACGTTTAAGAAAAAACATTAACTTAAACCATGGATATAAAAAAACAGAGCACCAACAGATGTCTTGATTAACGTATATTGCATCATTAACTATGTTTCCCCGTATGCACCAAAATTATAAATTTGTTGTGTGAATTTTATTAATCAACTCACATGCACGCGAGTTATCCCATGCGCAAGTTGTATATTGTTGAGCAGTGGCGGCTTGACCATACGACCCGCTGTGCTGCAGTCCCCCAGACACTCACTGCCAGGTGTATGACTCGACAACCTCACACTGCCAGGTGTATGACTCGACAACCTCACACTGCCAGGTGTATGACTCGACAACCTCACACTGCCAGGTGCATGACTCCACAACCTCACACTGCCAGGTGTATGACTCGACAACCTCACACTACCAGGTGTATGACTCGACAACCTCACACTGCCAGGTGTATGACTCGACAACCTCACACTACAATAATAACCAACTAACAAATGTCACAACTAAAACTCATTATATATGTTATTTTCAATATATTTACAGCTGAAATTTTACAGTTTATCTTTAAACGAGGCAGAAATATAGGTTTCATGCTGTTACCGTCTGACAAACAATGACAATGGAAAATGGAGTAAACTCAGTGAAGTATTAACAAAGTATCAACTTTTCACAGCTAACATTAAATAGAAATAGTGTAATAAAAACAAAGGGAACACATTCACCAAATTCATCCATTCTACAGAGAAGTGCAAGCAGGAGCAAATATATTGTGCCTTATTTATGCGATGCCCACGAGCTTCTGTGGGTTCCTTCCTATCGCAGCTGCATACGTCCCAAGGAACCCTATGCCTTGGGCTGCCCATTTGGGCAATTAGGCAACTCGCTGTGGAACGGGGGGAGCGGAGTTGCACTTGGAGGAAGGTTTTGTAAATCCGATCAAAGCACTATGGAGAAGTAGGTTTTTGCTCTGGGGTTGCCGAATGTTCGAGTCATTGGGACTCATCTGTTGAAAAGGGAAGAACTAATTGCGATGAAGCATCCTTTCCTGCACCAGCTTGCACTCGGCCCCCTCCCTGCCCTGGTGGTCGCCAGTCAGTGACTCTGAAGCCCAACTTCTTAATATTAGGAATCATTTAGGTTTTTGAAAATTCTACTCATTCTCATAGTCTAATAGTTGAGTTTGTAGTATCTCAGAGTAGAGTTGGCTTCGTTTTCGATTGACAATTTGGGATCCCGAGTTCAATTCCCATTTGGGACAGAAATGATTGGGCACATTTCCTTTTACCCAATGACTTTGTCTGCCTTTGTTTCATCTAACAGTAAATAGGCAACCGAAAGTTAGGCAGCTGTTTTGGGGTTGCATCCTGGAAAAGGTCAGCAGTTCGACTGTGAGAGTATTGTTTTGATACTTCAAATGTTACCTGCATGCAACAGCACCAACACCGGTGGTGGTCACTCTGCAAGAGGTCAATTGGCAGATCACATTATGCGAGAGCAACTGCCGAGGTCCACTGTATCTCATGTGGAGAGAAAGGATCAGGTGTCAGGATGTGGGGTTTGCAACCACAACGGCCCACTTATGGAACCGCCAGATGTAAGAAAATTACGGAGAACCCTCGTCTCTGAACGAGCATACAGGTACAGTCGAGGAAAAATATTCTTTTACTCGCAAGTGTCTGGAAAAGTACAAAATGTCAGCCAGGCGTTTGTTATCGTTGTTGTACTAATGGATTAGATTCAGAATGAAAAGACGTTTTGTAACGACGAGTCTCATTGGTCAAAACACCACACATCAGTTTATAAAATTCACATTGCTATCGAAAGGAAAATAATGTAGAATAGTGAATAAATATTAATATATATATACATTAGTGAGAAAAGGAGATGACTCTACTTATGTGCTTAAGAGTTTACTGATCTTCTATTTAAACGATATAACGATTCAATTTATTTCTTTATTATGCACCCTATACCCATCCCGTGGGCGGTGGTGGATAGGGTTACAGAGGCACTTAATGGACTCAGGGACCGAACCCCATAGTTCATTTAGCTAAGCAAGTTAGCCTTGATGAACCAGTTACAAAATTCAATGCACATCATCCCATCAACAATTGGCTCGAGACCGACAACAAGTAGACTCTAAATTAGTCAACTGAAATATGTGGAGAGCTGGTGTCACAGTTATGTTTATCCTGCACACTGCCCCTTAACAAGTGGGCAACGGTGGATGGGTTACAATCATCCACCAAAAGGGGCCTCGTAGCCTGGTGGATAGCGCGCAGGACTCGTAATTCTGTGGCGCGGGTTCGATTCCCGCACGAGGCAGAAGCAAATGGGCAAAGTTTCTTTCACCCTGAATGCCCCTGTTACCTAGCAGTAAATAGGTACCTGGGAGTTAGTCAACTGTCACGGGCTGCTTCCTGGGGGTGGAGGCCTGGTCGAGGACCGGGCCGCGGGGACACTAAAGCCCCGAAATCATCTCAAGATAACCTCAAGGATCCACAATTACTAAGCCGAGCAGTAGTAACATCTATGCGTCTGCTGATTATATTGGATGATTCATAGATGTGTGGCTCCTCTTGCAACGATGATCGATGACATTACTGTTGTCGATTTCACTTTACCTCAGACCTACAAGGTTTTTAGGAGTTCTTTGCGTATTATTGTTCTCAGACTGCTTATAGGCAATCCAAGGTGAGAGCTCAATTCCTCCTTCAAAGGCAGATTCTTTGGCTCATCAACACACAAAACGTTTTTTGAATTTAAGGGGCCCGGTGACAGGAGATTTTCCAAATATGAAATATAGTTTTTCTATAATAATATATATATTATATTTTTGGGCAAATTCATTTATAGATTTCAGACTCTATTCTCTTTGTCTATTTTAATTGTATTGATGAATTTGGACCAGATGAGTGCCTTATCACTTATCTCATATATATTTGCAAAAAAGCTACTGCAATATATATATTTCGTTATAAGAATATACGAATATACGAATGAAGGTAAATGCAGATGGCCTATTGGCCCATACGAGGCTGTCCTTTTTATATCCGCTCAATCTCATCCATATATGTCTAATCTACTGCTAGACAGCTAATGGGCCCAGTGTCTATTTTATAGTTATCCCAAACGTATCTCTATTTTTTTTTTTTTTTGTGGGGGTGTTATATTTCTTGACATCATTTCAACACATATTGACATACAACTTTCACATATTCGAGTACGAATGCCAAGCAATCTTTATTAAAACATACAAGAAATGTTCTTAATTAGAACTATCATAGTCATTGTTGATAATTTCAACTTCAATTTTCTTTAAAACAGGAATTTCAACTTTGAGACACCATCAAAAGTTCAGTTTCTGACCGATTCTCACCATTTTTACATATTACGTGCAAATGTCTTAGTTCTAAGGTGTGCTCACCTCCGTTTAGTCATAAAGCTATAACGTTTGGAATTATAAAAAAAATTGCATCTAACTTTTACACATATTTGGATGGCCACATTGAAAAAATGTTTTACAGTAAACTGTACTCTAAAACAATATTTTAAGGTGAGGAACATGAACGTTACATGCCATTCTGAGACCATAATGAATAAAATAACAATTGGTGACATTTCAATATTTTTTCAAGCTTATTTGAAATTGTGAATAATTTTTTTTTTTTTTTGTTCATGGTATGATGTTGATCCATTGGGAAAAGTTGGAACATTTGCCGTGAAGATATTTTTAGAAAAAAATTAGTGTATATGAGGACATTTAGGTACACCATCACCGAGCCCCTTAAAAGTGGTTTGCAAACATTGTTGAAATACTTTGTATGAATAATGGTATCAAGAACTAACTACACATCAATATCAGAAATAGACAAAGGAATGAGAAGGTATTATAATTCATTATCATTAATATTACTGGCAGCTGATAAATAAAGTGAAATGAATAGAAACAAAGTGACTTGTGTATCTGATTCCAGAAAACAACTATTATTAAATTAATTAGGTAAATACATTATGTAATAGTATGTATAATTGACAAAATAATTATGTGAGGCAGAGAGACAGAGTAAAAGAGCGAGAGTGATACACACAGACATAGACAGAGTCAGACTTACGTTACAAATATGGCAGACATGTGAAATCTCCGATCATATTACGTTCGTAATTCGTTAACATATGATGAATGTCTTATACTCAACATGGACTACATGATGATATATATCATTCGACAAACTAGCGCTTCTTAAAGAGCCCGGTGACTAGGGAGCATTTTTCCAAATATGATATATAGTGAAATTTTTTAAACAAATCTCTCATTTTTGGCATCAACGTTGTAACAATTTCATCACAATATGTTAAGAAATGGATTTTTTACGAATTTTATAAAATTGTAAATGTGTGCACGACGGGTGACAACCAGTACTGAGAATAAAGATAACATTTTTTTATTTACTGGCAATCAGGGATAAAGATATGCAAGAAGTCCGACGCAAACAAGAAAAGTAGTAATAAGGAGTTGATATGATACCACAAAGACTTCTACATCTTGGAGAATGTATATCCGGTACTAAGCATGTGAAGTTGGAACGAATTTGGTCAATATGTTAATCAGCCACAGGTGGCAGAAGTTGTGACTTTATTTTTTGGACCGATTTATTTACAGATTTCAAACTCCATTTTCTTTGCCTCTTTAGGTTATTTTGTTGAATTAGGACCAGATGAGAGCTTTATCACTTTTATATGGGCATTAAAGCTACTGCAATATATATGCTTGTTATCCCTAACCTATCCCTATATATATATATATATATATATATATATATATATATATATATATATATATATATATATATATATATATATATATATATATATATATATATATATATATGTCGTACCTAGTAGCCAGAACGCACTTCTCAGCCTACTATACAAGGCTCGATTTCCCTAATAAGCCAAGTTTTCATGAATTAATGTTTTTTCGACTACCTAACCTAACC